TAAATGTATTGCTTTATATTGTTATTTGACGTAGTTTCCTTTGTTAGGTAGGATGTAACATATGTGCTCAGTTCAAGTCTTGATTGTCTAACTACTGTAATTATCGCTCCTTGCTTGTTACTCTGCCGGCTTCTGAGCTGCAGTTGTCCACGGAGGTATCACGTGATCGAGGGGGGGGGGTGTCCTCACCTCGCCTGAAGTATTCAGTCTGCTCTAGACTCGCTTGGTGGTTGGACAGATTGTCTGTCTCATTATTCTTGTTAGTTCTGTAGAACTCTGTTCACAGAACATTGTATAGACTTAGTGATTTTCGACGTTGTACTGAGGTTGTGTGTCTCATAAACACTCGAAACATCTCAGGTCCTGAGCTATAGCTTCTGACTTAATTTGTACTGGTTTCTGTGTATTATCACAGTCGGGGATTTTCTTATGCTGAACTTAGATTCAGTAGTATGGGAGTTTTGTAACTTTTGTGGAGGATCTGCTGATGGTCTCTACTTAGTGTCGTCATAAGAACATAAGAGCATAAGAACGAAGGAACACTGCAGAAGGCCTACTGGCCCATGCGAGGCAGGTCCAAGTCTCCTACCGGCTTAAGCCAATGCACCCAACCTAGTCAGGTCAGGTCACATTGACTTAAGGGAGGAACACGGCAACCGACCTGGTAACACAAGCTATCAGGTCTAACTCACACCCACCCACATCTACTCATGTATTTATCCAACCTATTTTTAAAGCTACACAACGTTCTGGCCTCTATAACGGTACTTGGGAGTTTGTTCCACTCATCCACAACTCTATTACCAAACCAGTACTTTCCTATATCCTTCCTGAATCTGAATTTTTCCAACTTAAAACCATTGCTGCGAGTCCTGTCTAGGCTAGATATTTTCAGCACACTATTTACATCCCCTTTATTTATTCCTGTCTTCCATTTATACACCTCAATCATATCCCCCCTAATTCTACGTCTTTCTAGAGAGTGCAGTTTCAGGGCCCTTAGTCTATCCTCATAGGGAAGGTTTCTGATACATGGGATCATCTTTGTCATCCTCCTTTGTACATTTTCCAGAGAATTTATATCCATTCTGTAATACGGTGACCAAAACTGTGCAGCATAATCTAATATTATCTCCTTGTTCCTGATTCTGTGTCGCAGTTGCTTGTTGTATTGCTATTGGGCTTAGCATTCTTTTTGTTGATCAAGCAGACTGTTCTGGTTGCCAGTCGGTCAAGAAGTTAGTTTATTTGAGGACTTTGTCAGTCACTTGTTTAAGTCTAGTCGAGTCGTGAGACATAGCGAACTACTTAGAGCACTTACACGCATACACAAACTTGTACATATTTGTAATATCTTATTAAATGTTAATGTACCAGACGGTACTTAAGAATTATAAATGTGATATGTGCTTTCAGCACAATAATATTGAACTCGAGAGAAGTGATATTATTTTGATTACTGTGATTAATTTAATTTAATTTAATTTGGTAATATACCTCTAGACTTAATAAATTTATTAAATTTTAATTTCTCTAGTTAGTAGCCTACCAGTTGTAATCCTGAAGCACTATTGAATAATACTGAATTTTAATGGATAATTGGACCAGGATACTGACTAATTGTTACGAAAACCCAGTAACAGGCTGGATGCTAGAAGGGCAGTCCTTTCTAGTATTCACTGGAGATCTCTAAGCTTTTAGAATCGCGTTTTTTGTAACAAACACTGATGAGACTGGGAAATGTTGAGGCCTAATATACGAAAATATGTGAAGTTAAAATTTAATAAAAGCAAATAAGATATAGATGATTACATTTATGATGGAATGTTGTATTTGAAGACGAGATATCCGCTGCTGAACAAGCTTCATAAAATACATAACATATTATTTACATATGTGTGTCGTGCCGATTATGTAAAACTCGTTAATCAGCAAGAACTCTCTCTCTCTCTCGAGAGAGAGAGGAGAGAGAGAGGAGAGAGAGAGAGAGGCTGCGCCAGGTGACAAACCCGCACTGCGCTACTCTGAGAAAACTTCCCCTCACTCCTTTAGTTATTGCCTTGCAACACTGCATAGCTGCTGATGACGCACTGGGAAGAGTGAAAGTACTTGAGCAAAAAATTTCTAACCCCTCCCCCCCGTGGCTGTCTTAAATATTTTATATATTATATATATATATATATATTATATATATATATATTAATATATATATATATATATATAATATATATGTATATAATGTCGTGCCGAATATGTAAAACTGGTCAATTAGCAAGAACTCATTTAAAATTAAGTCCTTTCTGAAATTTTCTCTTATATGTTTAAAGATATATTTTTTCATTAATGTTAATGTAAAAATTTTTAATTTGGCACTAACCCAACTAAATATATTTTAAATACGTTTACAATAATTTAGTAATAAACAAACGCAATCAAATATATTTTTTTCGTTAGGTTCAGAATGATTTCGGCGAAATTATTGGATATATTATATATTTATTTATATATATATATATATATATATATATATATATATATAATATATATATATATATATATATATATATATATATATATTTATATTAATTTTTTTTTTCAACAAACCGGCCGTATCCCACCAAGGCAGGGGTGGCCCAAAAAGAAAAACAAAAGTTTCTCTTTTTAAATTTAGTAATTTATACAGGAGAAGGGGTTACTAGCCCCTTGCTCCTGGCATTTTAGTCGCCTCTTACAACACGTATAGCTTACGGAGGAAGAATTCTGTCCCACTTCCCCGTGGAGATAAGAGGAAATAAACAAGAACAAAAACTAGTAAGAAAATAGAAGAAAACCCAGAGGGGTGTGTGTATATATACATGCTTGTACATGTATGTGTAGTGTGACCTAAGTGTAAGTAGAAGTAGCAAGACGTACCTGAAACCTTGCATGTTTACGAGACAAAAAATGGACACCAGCAATCTTACCATCATGTAAAACAATTGCAGGCTTTCATTTTACATTCACTTGGCAGGACAGTAGTACCTCCCTGGGTGGTTGCTGTCTACCAACCTACTACCTAGGATATATATATATATATATATATATATATATATATATATATATTATATATATATATATATATATATATATTTGTGTGTGTGTGTAAAAGTTTAGAAATATATTTCCAACATGGGAAATGAAAAACGAATAAAAAAACGAAACAGTTAAGCATCTTCGTTTAGCATCTAAACATATTCATAAGTCATCTATACATTTCAGTGTATCAGACTCCATCATCAGTATTAAAACACTTAAGAACAATTACCAAACAGAACAGTTAAAATTTATATTAAATAAAAACAAATTATATTTAAAAGGAATCATCAGAATTACAATATTACTAAAGTACACAATGAAACCTAACAAGGTAATTAAATCTAACCTAACATTTACAGTAGCAAAAAGTTACAAATAAATGAAGTACAAATGTTAGGTTAGACTTCGTAACATCGATGGGTATTTTACGCATCATAGTTATAATTTAAATCTGATAACTTTGTTTAAATTGGAACTTTTTTTTTAATATAGATCAGATATAATGTTCAGAAATTGTTCTCATTTGTTTTAGCACTGGTGATGGAGTTTGATGATACCTGTTTAGCAGTGTTAAACGAAAATGTGTACAAGACTTTAGCGGTGAGTTCTCTCACTACCTCCACTTGTTCCCAATTACATATAAAACACATACTACATCATTTTTAACTGTGAATATACAAGATTTAGGAAGGTATACTGGACCGTGGTTGTGCAAACCTGCAACCGCTTTAAGTCTTGTTTAGGCAGCCACTTAAGATGCTAAGAGAATCACTCAACTTTCTTATAGACTTGTTGGGATCTCATTCGCTGAAGGTGTTTGAAGTTACTTAAATAGTTTGGGCAACTCTGTGCTCTCAACTTTCTATGCATTGTTGTTTCTGGAGGGATTTTGTGTGTGTGATGTGAGAGAAGAGAGAAAGAGGAGGGAGGGGAGAGAGAGGGAGGAGAGAGAGGAGAGAGAGAGAGAGAGAGGAGTGGAGAGAGAGAGAGAGAGAGAGAGACGAGAATGAAGAAAGAGTAACAGCTCGTAATAAGACGCTGATGCGACTCAGGTGAAGGAGAGAATTTTTCTAAGGAACTAACATCAATTTTGTATTCATTTTAGATAAGAAGTCTACTTTGCAAAGAGCGCTCTGACTGACAGTAGCTGCGTTGAATAGACTGAATGGTTTCCGGGGGATTATTAGATAATTGGAAGATTACCGTGAGATTATCAATTAAATGGAAGATTATTGATTGCATCACAACAGTGATTACAACAGTGCGTTACAACTGTGATTATATCTGTTGTTATGAATGAAATGCGTATTATCGTTTGCTACGGATAAGTACCTGGGGTGATAGGGTGGGTCCTTGGATGATAAGGTGGGTACTTTAGTATGGGCATAGGTATTATGTGTTAGGATGGGTATCTGGGTGTTGGTATGAACAGGTGAAGGAACTGGATAAACTTACCTGCTGCCCACGATACCAGGTGGGGAAGGCAGGGTACGGGCATCCCTTGATCTCACACACTAGTACCACTCTGCTTCCTTCCTTCAGAAACACTTCTCGTCCGGGATAAACTGTTGACACAGCCTCTGTGGGAGAGATAGTGAAGTATGCATCACCTTTTCTGTCCTACAGTGAATCTCTCTCTCTCTCTCTCTCTCTCTCTCTCTCTCTCTCTCTCTTCTCTCTCTCTCTCTCTCTCTCTCTCTCTCTCTCTCTCTCTCTCTCTCTCACCTGTGACGAGGAGGGTGATGGGCGTGGAGATAGGCGGGCTGACAGATACTTGGCATAGATAGGTGCCGGCATCGGAGGCGCGGGCGTGATGCAGGCGCAGCATCCATTTGGCACCACCACCTGGATTCACAGCCACGAACCTGAAAGATGGATGAAGGTGCGAAGATAATCACACTGGATGAGGTGCGGAAGTGCTCGATAAAGCTGAGAATCAGTAAACTACATTACCATAACTATCACCCACCACCACCACCACCATGACCAAATGATCCCAAATGGATGAACAATAGATTATAACATCTCATTGGTATAAAAAGAGGGAATGGGCAGTTAAGAAATCAGTATATTCAATTAAAGAGAGAAATAAAGAAAGGAATAAGAATAGTAAAAAAGGATTATGAGGCTAAGGTCGCAAGAGATTCAAAGATTAACCCAAAAGGGTTCTTTCAGGTATACAGAAGTAAGATTAGGGACAAAATAGGCCCACTTAAGAGTAACTCTGGTCAGATCACTGACAGTGATAAGGATATGTGTGAAATTCTCATTACCTACTTCCTCTCAATTTTCACCCAAGAAAATACTAGCGATATTCCTGAAATAATGGATTATGTAGAACAGGACTATAATAAACTATGTACGATTGCGGTAACTAGTGACATGGTCCTCAGACAAATAGAGAAACTAAAACCTAACAAATCCCCAGGTCCTGATGAACTGTTTGCAAGGGTGTTAAAGGAATGTAAAGAGGAAGTTAGCATACCTTTGGCTAAACTTTTTAACATATCACTACAAACTGGCATAGTGCCTGATATGTGGAAAATGGCAAATGTAATACCTATTTACAAGGCAGGTGACAGGTCCTTGGCTTCGAACTATAGACCAATAAGTCTTACCTCCATAGTAGGAAAATTTATGGAATCAATAATTGCCGAAGCAATTCGTAGCCATCTTGATAGGCACAGATTGATTAATGAATCTCCACACTGTTTTACAAAGGGGCGTTCCTGTCTTACGAATTTACTAAATTTTTTCGCTAAGGTGTTTGAGGAGGTACATCATGGTAATGGATATGATATTGTGTATATGGACTTCAGTAAGGCTTTCGATAGAGTTCCAAGTCAGAGGCTATTGAGGAAACTTAAAGCACACGGAATAGGAGGAGAAATTTTTTCCTGGGTAGAGGCATGGCTGACAAATGGGCAGTAGAGAGTTTGCAAAAATGGGGAGAAATCAGAATGGGGGCACGTCACAAGCGGTGTTCCACAGGGGTCAGTGTTGGGCCCGTTGCTGTTCACAATTTACATAAACGACATAGATGAGGGAATAAATAGCGACATAAGCAAATTTGCTGATGACACCAAAATAGGCCGTCCAATTCATTCTAATGAGGGCACTAAAGCACTCCAGGATGATTTGAATAGACTGATGCAATGGTTGGAGAAGTGGCAGATACAGTTTAATATAGACAAATGCAAAGTTCTAAATGTTGGACAGGAAAATAACCATACGACATATAAACTAAATAATGTAGATCTTAAGTGATGTGTCTGACCTCACTAGGTCAAGTCATTGGCTTAAGCCGGTGGGGAGAATTGGAGCTGCCTCGCATAGACCAGTAGACCTGGTACAGTGTTCCTTATTTCTTATCATCTTATGTTCTTATGAGGGCAAATATTCTATTAGTGTGATGGATCTGTGAAGGACCTGCCTAGTATGGGCCAACAGGCCTGCTGAAGTGTTCCTCCTTTCTTATGTTATTATGACCACCACCACCATCACCATCACCACCATCATTTCCACCACCATCACCATCACCACCATCACCACCACCACCACCTTCACCACCACCATCATCACCACCACCATCACCATCTTCACCACCACCACCACTGCCATCACCACCACCACCACTGCCATCACCACCACCACCACTGCCATCACCACCACCACCACCACCACCACCACCACCACCACCACCACCAGATTCATTATGCTGTCAGTTCACAGATAGGTTGTGTTGTCAATTTTAATTATTTCATCAAAACTTTTGGTGTGAGAGTGACAATGAGAGAAAGTTAGTTTGTCGGACGAGGAGACGGAGAAGTGGAGATATAATGTCGATGACCAGAGAGCTAGAGAGAGAGTGAGAGAGAGCGAACGCAGTTCCGCCAGGACTGAGCTACCTCACGTTACTACGTGTTGATGCTGTAATATTTGCTAGTATAGTGTAACCTACACTAGCCAACTACATTTACTCCTTAATTAATCCCCCTTAAAATCAATTTTTCCTTGAAAATATTAAACTGAAATAAACACTACATGACACATTGTATTAATTATAGTATTTTATGGCACATATATAGTATTGCTTCTTTTAATATTAATATTAAATATATATACACCCATACCAGCAGTTAGTCTTGTTACACCCGTCTTCCTTCTTAAATAGAATCAAAATCATTGTACCGCAGTTTGACAGTGGTCCAGGACGCGAATAGGAAAAGGAGATTCGAGCCTGCACCACTCATTGCGCTGAATGACCCACACAAGTTTAGCGCACTATATAAACTATAACAATGTTTGTCTATATTTATATATTCCTCTCATCATAGTCAGAAGGGACACCTTAAGCGGTTGAATGATTAGTGTCCCCTTGAGAACACCTAAGTCGATAATCTTCAAATTCCCAACACTTGTGTACTGAACTAGGAAAAGGTTCATTCGGCCATTGACATGTGTAGGTGAATTTTTGTCAATTTTCTAAAGCCTTTCCTGATTTTGGTTCCGATGCGAGAACTTGACAAGGTGTTGCCCGATAGGCTTCAAACTTTCAAGACTGGATTACTATTAAGATGTATGGGAGCCAATTTGTCTATTTTATTTTTAAAGTGATGTCTTGATTCCATAAAACTGCTTCAGTAAGTATCTTCTGAAACAGCTTCAGTCTGTAATGAGTATAATGAATCTGGGTTTATACTGTGTGAGTGTTAGGCTGCTAGCGTTATTAAACAAATTGATTTCAATGGAATAACTGAGGAATTTCTCTCCTTCTCGGCTTCAAACCTTTTAATGTTAACATGTCTTACTCGATGAAAGAACTGGATGAAATTTGAACTCTGTTGGCGCCAAATAGACAGTTTTATTGAAGAAATTGGAAATTCTAAAATATTTGCGTTCCAGCGATAATAAGTGAATGCCTCATTCGATCGACTTCAAACCTTCATTGCTGATAACATGAAACTGTAACCCACGAACGGCATCATATTTAAACTGCTAGGATATTTTGGAGATACTGGTCTTTTTTTCTTTAGTTAACCAAGAAATGTTAGGTTCAGACTCGTTCTGGGCTGCGGAGGCGCTAATCTGCCCATTTTACTGAAGAAATCTGGATATTAGTTTCCATGTGATCACTTGTGATTGCGTCTTGTGGCCGGCCTTAGGACGACTCAGATCCGCACTTGTAATTTTCCGAGGCTCTGCTGCTCTTTTATCAAAACACATCCAAAGTATTAAAGAAGTCTTGTAATGTGTAATTTCACTTTTGTACCAATTTTCGACTTTTATTTTCTCGTAAGAATGTGTAGAACACGAGTCTCTTGCTCGAGGAAGATTGTATAATTGTTGAGAACAAAAAGGCACAATACCGTGACCGGAATAATTCACCAATAACGATGACGTTTCGGTCTCACTTGGACCATATACAAAGTCCAAGTCGGACCGAATCATCGTCGTAAGCTTCCCTCTCCTACGTACGGGTTATCTGTGTATAATTCCTGATTTTCTTAAGGATCGCGAGAGTGACCTGTTAGAGATTTAGTGTCAATCGTAGTCTCGCCCATCCAGTGTAACCTACACGAGAGAGAATGACCAGTGTTCTAAGGATCATCAGTCAATATCTTATGGTGATAACTACCTACCTCCCTATCCACATCCTCCCCTATGTCTCAGCCTGTCTCCCTCCCTCCCTCCCTCACTCCCTCCCTCCGTCCCTGCCTCCCTCCCTACCTCTCTCCATCCCTCACCGTCAACACGCGATGTTTTAAAAGCTTCAAATTAGAGTTTCTACCCGCCAAATTACAGCCAAAACCCAGCACCAGCTTCCGCCAAAAAAAAAAAAAAAGTGGGGAAACCCGCCAAACTCTCACCCATAATCATTAGCTATTGTTTTTGTCTCTATTGTGGCGTTCTCAATAATAGATAAAATGGAGACTACAACGATTTTATTTTGCACACAACTCATTTCTTTTTTCATTATGCAAAATAATTCATCAGGAAATGATCACAAGAGTGCGAAGTTCCCATTAAAAATAATAATTTGTATAATATTGTTAATTATTATTATTATTATTATATTCAAGAGGAAGCGCTAAACCCAAAAGGAGTCATGAAGCGCCTGTGGAAAGCAAGACGCTCAGATTTAATCCAAGAGATGGGCCGCTCCAATTCCTCGGATGAAGAGTTCATGAAGGAAGTGTACATTAATGGTTCAGCAGTTTTGTGGTTCTGATATGCTTGCAGGTTCTCTGAGCTCCTGGGAAGTGGTCAGCGATGTTCAGCGATGTCGTGAAATGTTCTGTGATAATTCTGCGATGTTCAGTGATCTGAGATGCTCAGAGGTGTTCTGTGATGTTCTGTGATCTGAGATGCTTAGAGGTGTTCTGTGATGTTCTGTGATCTGAGATGCTTAGAGGTGTTCTGTGATGTTCTGTGATCTGAGATGCTTAGAGGAGTTCTGTGATGTTCTGTGATCTGAGATGCTTAGAGGAGTTCTGTGATGTTCTGTGATCTGAGATGCTCCGAGATGTTCCGTGATGTTCTGTGATCTGAGATGCTTAGAGGAATTTTGTGATGTTCTGTGATCTGAGATGCTACGAGGTGTTCCGTGATGTTCTGTGATCTGAGATGCTCCGAGATGTTCTATGATCTGAGATGCTTCGAAATGTTCTGTGATGTTACTTGATGTTCTCAGTTGCTCAAAGATTTCTCAGTTACTCTTAAAGCGTCTTGAGATGCTGCTTTAAAATGTTTTGAGATGTTCTTAAATGTTCAGGGAAGTTCTAATATTTTATGGAGGTTCTTCAAAAATGCTCAAAGATGTTCATAGAGATGTAACACATATTACGAGATGTTTTCATGGGATCTTAGATACTCCGAGATATTTAAAGACACTTTTAAGATGATCCGTGATCTTCTAAGATGCTGTGAGATGCTGTGAGATGTCCTGAGGTGTTCTAAAGTACTTTGGGATGCTCTGTGTTCTAAATTATTCAAGAATACTCTGCAGCTCCCTAAGAAATGTTCTATGTTATTTTAAATGTTCTTAGGGTTGTTTAAGGGTTTGTTGCCAATAATATTAACTGTTTTATTAATGTACCTAAATTAGTCCTACGCATGTTTCGAAAAAAAAAATATATTCGAAAAATCATTATAGAGGCACCTTCTCTGGGGATTTATGACCGGAAATCCTTAATGAGGAAAAGAATTGCAATCGAAAAGAAATTATTTCAGACCCCCTCACCCGTCAACTTCCCCCTCCATCAACCCCCATATTTTTCTGTATTTAAAATTTTTTAAAGGTGCCACCAATTTTCATACTTTTTTAGCTTTATTTCAAAAAAAAAATTTGTATAATTATTATTTTTCGTGTTTTCTTCGAAAAATTTGTTAAAATGCATTGTTGTAAAAATATGGTTTTTTTTTAGTAAGTAAATTTTTAGCAATTTGTAAATTCAGAAACCTTCTATTAAAATTCTTTAAATATTTACAAAAAGTAATTGATTTATATTATATTTTTGGGGGTTGGTGATATATATATTATAATAAAATTTTATTATTATAATATTTTATATATTATATAATATATAGTTTTGGAGTGGTTGGTGAAATATTAATAAATGTGGAAGGGGGTAAGGTACTGGGATTGGCAGGAGAATGCATATTTCCCTTTATAAAGGAAAAGGGGGAAAAAGAGAGTGAAAAAAATTATGGGGGGGATAAGTTTGTGGTATACTTTTAAAGTGTATGGTAGGTTATAATAAAAGAATTAAGAGAAAGCGGAGAATAGGATGCAGGTGAAAAAGGGGTTTTAGGAAAGGAAGGGGGTGTGTGGACCTTTTACAGTGAAACATATAAGTGAACGTATTTTGAAAAGGGCTAAAAGGTCTTTGTGGCATTTAGGGATTTTGGAAAAAGGGTTGAAGGGTGGATGGGGGGGTATGTGGAGTTTTTGCAAGTGGGTGTAGGGGGGGGTTACTAAAAGCAGTGAAGATTTTTTACGGGATAGTGGGGGGCTAAAGTTAGAGTATGTAGGAAAAGGGGAAAATTTTTCCCCAGTAAAATGGGCCCTTTAACAAGGATGTGTATGTCACCGTGTTGTTTAATATATTTATAGATGGGGTTGTAAAAGAAGTAAAAAGCGGGGGTCTTGGCAAGAGGCGTGGATTTAAAAGATGAAACACACACAAAATGGGGTTGTCACAGCGCCTTTGTGATGACACTGTGCTCTTGGGGGGATTTAAAGAAGTTCAGAGTTGGTGGGAAATTTTGGTAGGGGTGCAAAAAAAAAAAAAAATTTAAAAGGGGAATACAGGAAAGAGTAAGGTTATGGGATCAAAAAAAAATTAGGGATGAAAGATTTGGGTAAAACAAATTTTGGGGGAGAGAGAGGAGGGTGAACTATTCGATATTTTTGGGGGTGGACGTGTCGGGTTTGGGTCTTGAAAGAGAGGGGGAAAATAAATTATGAGGAAAAAAGAGTGAGTGGTGCACTTAGGATTGGGAGACAAAAAATTTGTCCTTGGGGGCAAAGAGGGAAGTAAGAGATAAGTTTTACCAACGCTCTTATATGGGTGTGAAGGTGGGTGAGAAAAGTTTCAGGCGGGAGAAGGTGGAGGGGTTTGGGGATGCAGTTGAGGGCAATGGTGGTTGAATTTTAAAGCGAGAATTTTGTATTTTGGAAGTTAGGAGGAGGTGCGGGTTTACCAAAAAAGTTGTCCAAGGGGCTGAGGAAGGGTTGTTTAGGGGGTTGGAATGTAAGAGAATGGAGGAAAAAAGATGACTTCAAGAGTGTATCATTGTATGGAAAGGGAAGGCGGGGTGGGGGTCGGCCTTGGGAAAGGTTGGAGGGGGGGTAAAAAAGGTTTTTTGTGCGAGGGCTTGGACTTCCAGCGGAAAGCGTGAGCGTGGTTTTTAAGGGGTGAAGGAGCAAATGGTTTTAATACTTGCGTGTGTTGGGTGTGAGCAAAGTAACATTTATGAAGGGGGCAGGGAAACCGGCAGGCCGGGCTTGATCCTGGAGTGGGAAGAAAAGTGCCTGAAAAATGAAGGAGGGGGTGTTAAAAGTTGCAGTTTAAAAACTGTATTAAAGCACCCTTCTGGGAAAACCAGTGATGGAGTGAATATGGGAAAAATTTTTTTTTTTTGGGCCACCCCGCCTTTTTGGGAACGGCCAGTATATAATAAATATATTATATATATTTATATATAATATATTATATATATATATATAAAGAATACCAGGATTTTTGTAAACTACCAGGTGAATGAAGGAAAATGGTATTCAAGGTACATTACAGTCACAGCACCGCGTAAAAATTAACCAAATGACGTTTAAACAGGTGTCCCCTCAAAGCTCTGAGTTTCGCTTGACCACATTAAAGAAGGTGGCAGTGTTTTATTTATGTTTTTGGAGAGAGTGATTGTGGCCCCCCTAATTACACTCATAATTGTGATTGCGGGGGTCGAGCTTAGCTCCCGGCCCGCCTCCTACTGTCGCTTTTAGGTTTCTTTCTCTCTGCTTTCCCGACTTTGTCATACCTATCTTAAAGCTATGAAAGGTTCCCGCCCCCCACATCACTTTTAGGGTATTCCCTTCCGACGACTCTGGGACTGAAAAAAATACTTTCCCAACTCCCTTTTTACTCTCTAGTCTTCATTTCCCAAATTTTGGGCCCCTTGTTTTTTTGTCCCCTCTGTGGAAAATCCTGTTCTGTCCACCTTTCTTTTCCACGCAGTATTTTTTATGTCGTTATTTTGTCTCCCCCGAACTCCTCCCTCCAGTGTCGTCAGTCCGATTCCCCCCAATTTCTTCGTAGGACATTCCCCTGGCTCCGGGAAATAGTTGTTGCAAAACCTTTGGCCCCTCAGGGGAAAGGGTTCCCCCTTTATGTTGGTGAGGGGGTCTTTTTTAGAAATTTGGGGGTTTGCCCCGTTCCCGTATTAACCGAATGCCTTCCACATCCACCCCCCCCCCAGGCGCGTTAATCCTATGGGTTTTAGCCTTCCCCTTTATAATAAAATAAAATAATAATAATAATAATAATAATGCCAAAACCCTTTTACTTTTCTAATTTCTTGCGTGCTTGACCAGGGGGTGGATTCAAACTGGTGCTGATACTCCAGTATGGGGGCCTGACGTACACAGTGTACAGTGTCTTGAACGATTCCTTACAAAGGTATCGGAATGCTATTTTCAGGTTTGCCTGGCGCCCATATGCTGCAGGAGTTATCTAGTTGATGTGTGCCTCCGGAGACGTGCTCGGTGTTATGGTCACCCCAAGATCTTTCTCCTTGAGTGAGGTTTGCAGTCTTTGTCCACCTAGCCTATACTCTGTCTGCGATCTTCTTTGCCCTTCCCCAATCTTCATGACTTTGCATTTGGCAGGGTTGAATTCGAAAAGCCAGTTGCTGGACCACGTGTGTGTGTGTGTGTGTGTGTGTGCAAAAACTCACCTGTTGTCCGAGGTGTAGGTGGTCTCCCCCGCTGTCAACAGGTGAATATCTCTGGCCCTTACCCACGACACCTGGAAGATGAAAAATTATCTTTTTTTTTAAAAAAAAAGTTCAAATTACAGATCTAAATGTTATATCTAAACTGCCCATAAATTACATGCATGATATATCCTCAGCTTATTCCAAAATTGAGCTCTATCTGAGTTACGCCACCAAACCCACGATTTTTCTCATAAGGATAATTGTATCTATCACTACTGAAGAACTTACGGCTTTGGACCATCACGTCTTCGGTGAAGTAAATGTTCGAAATTGCACCCATTTGTCGTCGTCAGCAGTTATTTGCCTTTTAATTTAGAAGGCAAATGACTTCAAAAAACTAGATTTAGAATTTAGAAGTTTAAGATGCTTAAATATCAGGAGATATGACACATGGGTGAGAAGATACATGGGTAAGATGCCGACAGTGTGAAATAAAAGTCTTGTAATCAGAGGGAAGATTTTTTTCCTCAGCAATCCAGACATTCAACCAAAATCGTGTCCATTTAAATATAGAGTTGATTGGTTTGTAATGCTATTACGTGTGTATACACACAGCTCCTGTCCTTCCCAATGTCAGAACTACAGCGTCTCTGTCAGAGCCATGGTATCTCAGTGTCAGAATCATGGTGTCTCAGTGTCAGAACCAGGGCTTCTCAGTATCTGAACCATAGTGTCTCAGTGTCAGAACCATGGTGTCTCAGTGTCAGAACCATGGTGTCTCAGTGTCAGAATCATGGTGTCTCAGTGTCAGAACCAGGGCTTCTCAGTATCTGAACCATAGTGTCTCAGTGTCAGAACCATGGTGTCTCAGTGTCAGAACCATGGTGTCTCAGTGTCAGAACCATGGTGTCTCAGTGTCAGAACCATGGTGTCTCAGTGTCAGAACCATGGTGTCTCAGTGTCTGAACCACGGTGTCTCTGTGTCAGAACCAGGGTGTTTTTGTGTCAGCACTAGGGCGTCTCTGTCAGAACCAGGGCGTCTCTGTGTTAGAACCAGGGCGTCTCTGTGTCATCACCAGGGCGTCTGTCAGAACCAGGGAGTCTCAATGTCAGTAAAAGGGTGTCTCTGTGTCAAAACCAGGTTCACCCAGTGTCAGAACAAAGACGTCTTCTGAGTGTCAAGACCAGGACATAAACTTACAGCTAATGAACATCTGGCTACAGCTAATAGACATAAAGCTAAAGCTAATAATTAATCTATCTCTAATGAACATCAAATTACATATATATATATATATATACTGAACTCTATTGGTCACGTTGCAACTTCAACAGCCTTTTTCTCAAGGCGAACCCTTGCCACAATAATAGAAATAAGCTATCAGTGAAAGCCTTTTCTCAGTCCATTGTACCAGAACACGAGTGAAAGGATTTTTTTATTGGAGAAATTAAAGATCCTTCCGAGCATCTAATTATTTGTGTATGAGC